TTAGGGATAGAACGGGTGTGTGATCTCTTCGGGTGTCCTCAACTGGACCCGTCTATGGCTGTACGGGCGAGCGATGTTGATGTTAATGTGCGGCATGACGGTCTAGTCTGGGTCGATCTGAAAAGGAGTATGACCATAGTGGAAGTGAAGGTGGTTGGCGCCGTGTTTGATGTTATGACGGAGGATAAGATAATCGGGCGAAGCGATGCTGAGGGAAGAGCAAGGCTTCTAGCTTACGAGAGGTCATTGATTTTGAGGCCGATTAAGACCGTGGGGGACGGATTTTCGTGGCGCAGTGAAGGAGTGAAAGTGTTGAGGGTCCGGAAGATGGCTCCGCCTCAGCTGGGTCAATATTGTAGGGATCTCCTCATGAAACGGGTATGGCCATTGCCGCATCGACGCTGTTGTGCTGTAACTGTTATTGTTAGATACAATCCAACAGAAGATGGGCCCTAAGCCGACAGGGGTTGGACTTCTGGGCCCCGCTGGGCCAGCAGTCTATTGGTAGATATAGCTTCAACAATAAGATCCACATGAGTTCCGAGACTAGTCGAGCTGGTCAGTACGACGTGATGGTCGCCAAACGCCGTGGTAAGGCTGTTGGAGGTCTGCTCTTGTGACCGCTCTCTTGGTAGGGGATCGGCTCACTAGAAGGATGCGCGGCATGATGTTTATGCTGTATGATGAAGTCGATAATTGTCGGTAAGTGCTTGTCGAGTGGTGGGGGACCAGTGGGAGTTGCAACGCTCTTAGATTCATCCCAGCGGCTGGCGACCATGCACCCGGGAGGCATGGTCATGCCCGGTCTCGGACCATAGACGACTTCGTGTCATCATTAGGGACTAACTTTGAGAAGGCTCGGCTACCATGCTACCTCTTAGTGAGGCGTTGGGGCAGGCTGAAGCGGGCTAAGGTCAGTTGAAGGGACTATGGCCATTGTGAAGTGTCTACAGGTGTTGTGTGAGCGAGGGTACCTGCTAGCGGCCAAAACGTATTTGGACAAAGCATTCAATGT